TTTTTTGTAATTAAGCCTAAAATACTTGCAAGAGTTATTTTAATAATAGCTGCTTAGTTCGAGTAACATTTTTAGCATGTAAAATTAACAAATAAACCATTTTTTTTATTATTTTTTGTAATTTCGATACTTCAAAGTATTAAACGACAAATTGAGGTTGACTACAGTAGATTGTATCGACTCTACAAATTAGTCGGCTAACACTGTCAAAGAAGGTTCTTTTAATGTCATCAAAAAATTTGCCGTAAACTACCTATATTGTTTCCAAGTAAAAAAAACGTTTTCTTAAAAGTAGAGATAAAAAGAACTCACAAACATGACTCATTCCATTCGTTCACGAAAACTGTTTATGGTTCCGAAGTTAATGTGCCTGTTCGAAAATGAAATAGAGTAGAGACACTGGCGAAATTTCGTTTGAAATTCGTTCGTTACCGAAATTTCGTTTCGGAGAAAGAGAGTAGAGCTCCAGGGCACCACGGGGTAGCGGATTGGGTTAGGGTAGGCAACGATGCGAGTGATATGGTAGTATGCATCTATGGGCGATAATAATAGGGTATTTGACAGTATTAAAAATAAAGTGCCAAAGCCAATGCCATCTGGGTTTAGAATGAATATTGGCAGGGATTTTCACTATTTTTACATAAAAAATATTCATAATTTTACTAAAAGCCACGAAAAAGATAATAGTTTTCTTATCTATTGTCACGTGATCCAAAACGCTTGTAAACTTCCGGTTAAAGTGACATTACATTGTATCGTTTGACGTTTAAATAACAGTCGTGTGACGTCACACGCCAGTAAGACGCCATGTTGTCCAGAGAAACGCTTTCGCGGTAACTTGAAAATGGAGTTTTTGATTTGGTTATTTTTACTGAAATACGAGGAACTGAAAATCGAGGAACTCGATGGCGCATGTGGTAAGCGCGTTCGGCTGCGATCGTTGAATTTAAGCAACTTTCGCAGCGGTCGGTCATTGGGTGGGTGACCAAAAATCTTCTATCTCGAGTTCCTCCGTGCTTCGGAAGGCACGTTAAGCCGTTGGTCCCGGCTGCATCTGCAGTCGTTAGCACCCGCCAATTCGCATTGGGCCCGCGTGGTGGGTCATGGCCCTATCTCCCTATTCCATCCATAGGGAAGGCCTGTGCCACAGCAGTGGGGACATTAAGAGGTTGATGATGATGATGATACTGAAATACACAACAGAATGATGAATATCCACATTTTACGGACTCCATAAACATTATTTGTTTCTTAGGTTTTCACGCACATCACTCATTAAATAAAACTAGTTTTTACGGGTTAATGCACAAAAACTTTATTATTTTCAATAAAAGTTTTATTCTGACGACGAAACCTGTAAAGGCTACGAAACGTCAATAAATAAATAAAGTTTTCGTGCATTAACCCGTAAAAATTAGTTTTATCCATAAACATTAGTTAATAACGTGAGATCGTTTTCTAAAACTTGTCAAATACCCTATTGGCGCCGTAAATCATACGTGATTTTTTGACATCATTTCGTATTTCTCTATGTACTCGTATTTAAACGGGAAAATTCGAGTGCGAGCCAGACTCGCACTAAGCCAATTTCGAAGGGTAATTGGTTTACAACATGTTATCCTCTATTTTTATCCACCTTCATCTTTTGTGTTTGCGACATAAAGTAACTTATGTTATTTCATGTCATTACAAAATAACATGTAATAATACAATAAGAACGAATTCAATGCTACCTCAGATATCCACGCGAAGTTTAAATCACACTGGCGAATTCTGCGATGAAAATGATGCTCTTTTTTGTATGGGTAAAAAATTTTAAACTCGCGTCAGGTTAGACACGTGGTCTGATCGCATCATGACAGACAATAAAATTGAAAAGGTTGTTGACTTTCAACATATTGGACGAAACAAAGTAACATTTTATTTTACCGTATTATAATAATAAGTCTCTATCTAGGACGGCCTCGTGGCAGCTTTATTGCGAAGAAAATGCATTTGGTTTACAATAATAGATGTCGCTAGGTGCGCTTATATGATTCATGTAAGTTGTTTTTCTGAGAAATAAACTTTTTTAATGTAATATAACTTGTCATGTTTGTGTACGATAGCGCAATAAATAAATATTGTATGATTAAAGCAATTCGAGCAAAATTATTCCCTAACCATTCCAAAATATCAAAAATGCATAACGTTAATATTCAAGTTTTCACTTCTGCCGGCACTCCCGGAGTGCATCCCGTCGTTTTTATTTATTAAAGAATAGGACTGCTGTTAACTGGAAACTGTCTAGGAAAAGGATAGGATTATCCTTTTAGCTGTCAGTCTTCTGAAAAGTATTAAATGAGGTCTAGAAGTATTCCAAACAGCTATGAAGTTTAGTGTAACTAGAAATTACGTTACTCAACTCATTACGAATAATTGTTTGTATCGCAAACTTGACATAATAAGCGTTGTCCGCAGAGCTTACATAAAGGTCTTGGCAACATCACGACACATGAACTGAGCACACATTGTGTCGTAAGTGAAAAGAAACTGGATCTATGTCAAGTGCGAGCGGTTATACAACACGTGGATAATACGGTCGGGCAGTCTTAATCAAAGACTCGTTATGTTCCGCTTGTTAACAATGGACAAAAAAGTGACTTACGCAGAGACAGGTTATAAAACTAGTCACCATAATAAATTTTACCGCTACGAGTAGGGATGTCGAAAGTTGAAAAAATATCGATATATCGATACATCGATATTTTAAAAAATATTAATATCGGCTTCGATATATCGCGAAAAAAACATCGATATATCGATATATCGAACCAAAAATACATTTAGGTTAGCCTAGCACAGTAATAATAGTTCAATACAAATTATAATTAAAGAAAGAATTATCAAAGTACCAAATTGCCGCTACACTACATGGCAGTACAGTATCTCACGAAATATGAAACGCAGAATAATAATGGAACGAAAATTATCTAAAAATAGACCCTATTTCCGAATGATGAAAATGATTGCAGGGCCTCTCAGCTGCCATCTTTCGTAAACAAGACTAGACAGTTACACACTTCCACAGAATATAATGGAAATCAGCACAACCAATTCACCAGCGAAACAGATTTACAAATAATAGACAATACTAAATACAGCACAGATCATAGATATGTTGAATATCATTAATCTGAGATCCAGTTACGATTTTTCCAGATACAAATTTAGTTAGATCGTGATATGCCGCTAATAATTAAAAAAATATCGTTTTTGATACGAATTTCGATATTGGTTATTTTGTATCGATGTATCGATATATCGAATCAAAATATATCGGCAAAAAATATCGATATATCGATACATCGATATATTTTCAACAAGCCTAGCTACGAGTACTTTTGGAGTTTGACTATCTAAGGCCCGTATTACAAAATTACAACTAAGTGTTGATCTTTACTTGAGTACAGTAAGAAAGGGATATCGCTATGTGCTATATAAAGCGACATCCCTTTCTAACTATGCTCAATACTAGATCAATCACTGAGAATCTTTCTATAATACGGGCCTAAGGCTTTGTAGTTTTTGGAGGATACAAATGTTTCAACGTAATGAACAAACAACATTGCTTTTATCATTCCATATATATGTAACTAGCGGCCCGCCCTCGCTTCGCTTCAGTGTAGAGCTGAAGTGTGGACTACAGTTTTTGTTCTCAGGCTTGTATTATACACAATGACATCTTATACCAAAGTCTCAGCCCGATCGGTTTAAAATTGACTTTCATTCCCTATTTTATCCCCTTGGGGGTAGAATTGATCAAAATCCTTTCTTAGCGGATGCCTACATAATAACATCTGCCTGCATGCCAAATTTCAGCCCGATCCGTCAAGTGGTTTGGGCTGTGCGTTGATAGATCACTATGTCAGTCAGTCACCTTTGAGTTCTATATATATAGATGACCTTCATTTTAAGTAAATATGTTGTAGTTAGTATAGGTGATTATGGGTAGTCATGCTCTTTTAAAATTCTCTTCGGTGATGTCGAGTGAGGCGGGTCGTTACGTTCCCTAAACTATGCTTGAGCGATGGCTGGTTCATGCGTCATGCTCGTGAACGGGTACTTCCAGTGGAGATGAGTCTGCCCTAACTACTTCACTATTGATGATCTTAATGTCTAGTTACACCTAATATAAATAACACTATTTGTATTTATACTATGGGACACAGTTATCAAAATGCAGGTTAACAATAATGTATAATATTTCACATTATGTAATGAATGGTGACTTCATGAATCTATCTCTTCTATTTATTTTTTTGTTTTCTTTATTTATCTTGTCTCTGAAGTCATTTTTCAACTTGACGACTCTGTAAATAATAAAACAAGAAGAAAAAACAGCCCTTTCTGAGTTTCCTGCCTGTTCTTCTCAGTACAAGGTTTCCCGCCGCAGATATACGAACCGATGGCGTAGTTTCTAGACATTCATGAGTGCTTGTAACAGCCTAAGCTGAATAAAAAATTTTGATTATTTTTATAACTTTCTTACATCATCATCAGCCTATTAATGTCTCCACTGCTGGGGCACAGGCCTTCCCTATGGATGGAATAGGGAGATTGGGCCATGACCCACCACACGGGCCCAGTGCGGATTGGCGGGTGCTAACGACTGCAGATGCAGCCAGGACCAACGGCTTAACGTGCCTTCTGAAGCACGGAGGAACTCGAGATAGAAGATTTTTGGTCACCCATCCAATGACCGACCACTGCGAAAGTTGCTTAACTTAAACTATCGCAGCCGAACGCGGTAACCCCGCCATCATAAGTACCCGCGCCATCGAGCTTCCTACATAATGATCGCGATTCTGTAATGCTTTGAGCAAGTAAACAAAACAAAACTAAAACACACTAGCTCTGATGATAATATATGTAGTTTACTAGTGGTTTACGTATTCCCATGTGTTCATTAAATTAGTATTATTTTGAGCTACTTAATGAAATATCCTCTTTTTTTTCAGCAGTACCAAGTATACCCATACGAACTAGAGCCACACCAGGAGTATCGGAAGCCGCTGAGAGAGCACGAGAAGCCTCAGGACCTGCGCAACGTGCCTGGTGTTCCTGGGGTGGACTTCCCCATCTTCCATGAGGTTCCGGAGACCAGCTTTTCTTGCGATCATGTCCCGGCAAGGCCAGGCATGTACGCCAACGTGGAGACTGGATGTCAGGTTAGAACGATTTTCTTTCGAATTCATCTTTCTAGATGACTATATATTCCAAATCTTTCTGGGAGGCTCTTAAGACCTTTTTTATATAGATAGGTCCGACATATGACTCCGCCCCACCTGATGTTAAGTTAAGGTGAAGTCCAGACGTGAAGATAGCTGATAGGTTGTAAGAGGGAGGGAACACGTGATCGGGCAGAGGTGCCGGGTACCTGAGGTACCAAAGACCAGCTTCTCTTGAGATCATGTGCCGGTGAGGCCAGGCATGTACGCAAATGTAGAGACTGGATGCCAGGTAAGACTGATTTTCTTTCAACTCCATCTTCTGAATTGAATGTGGGTAGGAAGATTCCTAGAGCGCACCAGAAGCCTCCGAAACTGCTCAACATGGCCGGTATACCTGAGGAAGATAGATTTCAACATCTTTTTTCTGTTTCTCAAGATCAGATTCTTTTGCGATCGTGGCTTATATATGCCAATATTTGAGACTGGATTTGAAGTTAATGATTGTCCTTCTATTTTCTTCTTCACTACTTCTGCGATCCACCCAGTGATACCAGACCGGAATCAAACCAGCACCTTTCGACATCTTATTGAGTTATTCTACGGAAACGATAACACACTTGTTTATTCTAGTATTTTATTAGGAGCAAGGCATAAATACATTTTTAAAAGGAAAACTGGACCACAAAATGTAGCTGGCGATTATTCATTCAGCTTCAAGATTGGAACACTGAATACTGAAAAGTGTAAAATATGCTGTTATCCCGGAGATAAGTTTAATTTACTCGGACGGTTGGCGATCTGCATTATAATTAACGGGAACACCCGGCTTCTCGGCAGCCAGCCAAAATCTCGGGCTTAGTGACGTCACGGTAACAGGTGAAAGGTCGTCGGTTGATCACGGCGCCAGTGTACCACAAACACATTCGATTTAGAATTTAAAAATCCAGAGGTGCGGACAGACTGCTACTCGGTCTAATTGAGCGATACTCATCGCAATAGACACGTATTTTCCATGCTGGACTAGGAGTGAAAGAAAAATATAGAATGCGCAGAATTGCCAAATTTTTAAACGGTAAAAGCCCAGTCAATTAACTAATGAAAGTTATAAGTTGGCGCTTAAGTGGCATTCATATTTACAGACAACATCTTGGATTAGTATATCCTCATACTTACCATTACGGCTAACTAGGAAATGCAATACCGGATTAAGATGGTTAATTCCGGTATATACCTGGATTAAAATTATCTTGCGGGATTGCATTTCCTATGGCTGAGTGACCACGTGGTTCTAGTGCGGATTATTTGATGCTAATGATGTGCCAGAAGCACAGCAGACTCCGAGGTAAAAAGTTGAGCACCCATCAAACGATCGGCCAATGCAAAAGTTGCTTAACTTCTACGATCGTAGCCCGAGAGCACTAACTACTGCGCCCCATCGCACACGCCGATGGGTGGTAAACCAACCCTGAAATGAATGCATGACATGCATGTATACTTATGTATGGCACCAAAGTAACGGACGGTGATGTGACGAAGTTAAGAAATGATTTCTATACAGCAGTGTACTTTGGAGAATTCCCATGAATAAAATATAAGTTTGTTACTGAAACTTATCATCGGAGAGGTGATTAAGTGGAATTAGTCCGGTTCATATTTGGCATACAAATTGGAGGTCAATTCTTGAAGTGTGAAGTTTTGTTGTCATCGTTTAAGTTTGACGAATTTTCTGGTACGGCATTGGTAAAGGGTTAATCGAATTCTGATGCGATATTACTAGTCATTCGGCTACGTTATTTTTGTTGTCTGACACATACACAATGATAGTAGGAGCATTAAAAAAGATTAAAGGTTGATTGATTTTTAAGCTATAACGGATATTGATTCCATAGGTGGAATCAATATCCCTTGTAGCGATACGGTGCAAAATCTCGACGTCACAATTGATTCCAACCTGTCATGGACAGATCACGTCGCTAACGTTAGTCGTAAAATGTATTTTTCGCTTCATACATTAAAATGTTTGCAAAATTTCCTTCCCTTACATACTAAAATTACACAATCTCTTATTCTCCTTTTTCTACGGAGGTATTACTCGATAAACTTGAGCGCCTGCAGAATCTTGTTATCCGATTCATCTTTGGGTTTCGTAAGTATGATCACGTCTCCAACTTTCGAAAGGAACTTCGACCAACGTAGAAAGAAAAGAATAAGAAATTGCCCTTGCACAATTTCTTATTCTACTATTTCTAAGGAGGTATTACTCGATAAACTTGAGCGCCTGCAGAATCTTGTTATCCGATTCATCTTTGGGTTTCGTAAGTATGATCACGTCTCCAACTTTCGAAAGGAACTCAAGTGGCTCCCTGTACGTCTGCGCAGGAATGACAGAATCCTTTGTTTCCTCTTCAATATCCTATACAATCCTTCATAGCCTTCCTATTAAAGGGAGAGTTTTTCTTTCACTTACTCGCCTAATGTTTCTTGCAGGTTCCATCTCAAATCAGTACTCAAATATCCTATTCATAAAACCGAATTTGCATCATACTCTTTTACGGTACATGCCTTTCGCTTATGTAACTCGCTGCCAGCAGGAATCAGAGACAGTCCAACTGTTGCTACATTTAAAAAACGGTCGAAGGAACACTATATATCCTCTTGAATCACTGTTTCAGAACTGTATTGCTTCTCCTTTTTAACACTTGTATAGTTTTTTTAGTATATATGTTTATCTGTACATCTATGTAGATATATATGTAGGTTTTGTTTATGTTGCGAGTCCCACACACGCCGTGCGCCTAGTCAGCGTCACGGTATGGTAACGTAACTGCATTTCCCCTCGTCACAAAAAAAAAAAAGGTTTTGTTTATGTCAGTATTGTATTTTGTTATTTATATTCAGGAGGCACACACTGACGACCCTTTTTTATGTTTTTTCCTTTCGCGGGCCTGCTGGAAGAAATCTCAATATGAAATAAGCAATGCCCTTGTACAAATTTCTTGTTCATGTTCTTATCTGTTTTATTGTGTGTGTGTACTAAATTATTAAATAAATAATAAATAAAGTTGCAGCTTTTTAATAAAAACAGTTAGTGTAAACATCACTCCAAATCTCTTAGAGATGCATCTTAACGATGTCCAATCTTGGTATTGCTTGCTTTTTTTTTTGAGTGTGTATGCTGTTGGTCGCAGATGACCTTTACAGCGTCACCGGGTTTGGGGACGGCGAGATCCTAAGGGGACCTCAAGCCGAGAATTGGCGAGTGCCTCTGGAGGTATTCCAGTCGGATGGCGTCTCCCCGGGGGGAGTCTCCACTCCGTCTGGAGCCTCCAGACCACTCGAACCTGAGGGGGTCGGCTCAACTAGAGGGCGTCTCTGAGACTCGGACCTCGGCTCTAGTTAGCCGTTGTCGTGGGGGGCGGGGAAAAACGCCGAGGTACGTACCTGTACCTGGTATAGCGTGTCGTGTGTAGACCGGGTCTTCGCACTCTTATCCTACGGGTGCGGTGTCTGCCTAATGCTAAGCTAGTGTGCACGTTTGCTAGCTGTGTAGTGTTGGTGTTTGTGGCCTGTGTGGGAGGAGTCGGAGGCGCGTTGGCGCGTGTGATTTCGTCGTCTAGATAGTCTAAGACGTGCCTAGGCCGACGGAATCGGAGGGTATTGCTTGCGACTATAATGGTGTCCAGAAACAATAGTTGCAGGTTCCTAGCCCATCGCATCATTAGTTTCTGTATTTAGTCCATCATTAGAAGCATAATTATTTAACCATAATTATTTTTTATTTGTTCTTCTATATATCTTTGTCATATCATGTAATATTTCACTTAAAGTTCTATTACAGCTATGTATATGTGTGTTTCTTATATGTATGTCCTCATAATCATTGACATGTTTCTTTAAAATGCGTTATACAAAGAACAAAATATCTGACTATTGACCAAAACAATAAGCAAGCGAGACCAAGCCAAAGATAGCGTTATAACAAATTAATACAATTACTGCTAAAGTAATATGAATCGTGAGATACAAACGTCATTATAAAAGGCGCGTCTCCTTGATTCTATTGAGCAATGCATTCGTGACTGGGGCCCTCAGTGTCGTCTCAATCCGTCGTATCTTCACAGCGAGATTAATTTATTACAACATTATCTCAGAATTCTCGAGAAATTGATGATTCATCCCCTTTGTCTAAGCAGTCAGTCAGTAAGTTATTGTAACAGTTCATTTCTAGTAAGTTTATAATAATATTGCTCTTACTATATTATTTACAAGAGAAGACAAATTAAAGCTTGAAACTGTCACCTCTTGAAATCCATACAGATTTAACACTATGAAATTGTATGCAAATAACCTTCTTTGTGATTAGAGTAGTGCATAAAATTTCTTAACTTTATATGTATTTTGTTCACAATCTGATTATGGCTTCCTTATTAATAGTTTGTTTGTTTTTCAAGTAATTTCATGATTCATTAGGAATTATTTACCCCTTATGGAAATGGTCGTAATTCTTCTCCATGCTTACTGAGCACGGAACCCAAGAAAAGTCAAACAGCTTTTAATAAAAAAAGGAAACATAATGACTGCTTTACATACTTACTCACGAATGCAAAGATTCGTCGTCGTTTCCTTGTAATCAAAACTCATTATTCAGAAGCCATTTCCTAGTCACGTATCGAATAAGAACAAGATTTAGCAATTTAAATTTGCGTACCTCTACATGCGAACTTTATCAGGGTAACACGAACTCAATTTGGGCAGGGGAGAGATCAAAATCTGTAAGTCCATCCAATCAGTGCAAGTCCATAGTGTTGTTAGTTAAATAATATCGAAATATCTGAAAGGTTTTCAAAATTACTTTACAAATATTAATTTATTTATTTTGACTCTTTGAAAATGTTGCTTGCTTTGAATAAAAAAATATCAGAATTAATATACCCTATGGTTTGTTCTAAAACTTTTGTTTTGTGAGATAAGTATACCGACAAGGTAAAGGTATATTAGATATTTGAATTGACTAGTTGTAATCCTCATATTTCTCAGTAATCTTAATGAAAAACCTTATATCCATCACATCAAAATTATAACGTTTACAGTTATAAGGAAATTATGCCTATTGTTAAAGTTGTACATGAAAACTACCAGTTATCTATATCTTTGAACCATATGTAGATCTTAATAAGGTATCAATGAAAGGGATATACTTATTAATCATCATCATCATCATCATCATCAGCCTATTAATGTCCCCACTACTGGGGCACAGGCCTTTCCCATGGATGGAATAGGGAGTTTGGGCCATGACCCACTACGCGGGCCCAGTGCGGATTGGCGGGTGCTAACGACTGCAGATGCAGCCGGAACCAACGGCTTAACGTGCCTTCCGAAGCACGAAGGAGCTCAAGACAGAAGATTTTTGGTCACCCATCCAATGACCGACCACTGCGAAAGTTGCTTAACTTCAACGATCGCAACCGAACGCGCTAACCACCTGCGCCATCGAGCTCCTCTTATTAATACTTAGTTTTTTTTACGTTTTCCACACTACCAACGAGAACTGTTTCTCGACTAAGATGCGACAAAGTTGACGCACTGGAAAGAGCCATCCAAACTTGTTGTTGTTATCAACTCATTGCAAGTTATTGACTCTACTCATCTTTATATATATAATTCTTCTGTGAGTGTGTATGTCACTGAACTTCTCTTAAACGACTGGACCGATTTTGATGAAATTTTTTGTGTGTTTTCAAGGGGATCTGAGAATGGTTTAGATTCACAATTTTGTCCGCTGGACAACCCCTATTTTTTTAGGGCGGTACGAAGTTCGCTGGGTCAGCTAGTTTCTATATAAATCTTCAGAGGTGAAACAGGATACTTTGTTTTCGGACAATGTAGCATCACTAGTCCACGGGTGACTCATGCTTAAAATAATTATGTTAGACCAAATTTCTACGCAACGAAATTGTTATGGTTGACCAATTTCACTAAATTGAATAAGTTTCAAGACTTGGCGACCAACCTCAAAGTCCGGCCGGCCCGTAATCTAAAGTTATTATTTCAACCATGTTATTGTGTACCCGTAAACTGAACACTTTGATGCTTAATAAGCTGAAATGTTTTTGTGAAGAAAATCTACTTATGCAAATAAAGGTATTTTATTATCGATGGTATCTCCTGAGTGAACTCCTTTTGTCTCTCTGATATTATAATAGCACTAGCAAACCAGTGAACCAAATGTTCACCAAAACCTGATTTCTCGAAAACCGGAAGTGCTACGTTACTCAAATCCGGTTTGTAGTCTTATCAGACTATTCTTAACTTATAACTTAAATATTCTCTTTATCTATCTCTTACGGTTTGGCCGCTGAAACAGCACCACAGACAGACGGACTTGTCTAATAGATAAGAGATTTTATTTGTTAGTGTTAGTTATGTCCAACGTTTAAAACACACCTGGTATAATTTAGAATTTAGTTATGAATACAATAACAATGATACAAGCCAAATCTTTCACGTAATTTCATTATGGTTATAATTGTTATGCTGTATTTAACAGTTTTTGATAATGAAAAAGTTTCAAGTTATGTTTGGTAATCTACAAGTACACTAAATCTAACAGTTAAATTCTTAAAATGATGAATTCGTATAACTTCATTTTTGTTGTTCAGATTAGCCAATCGATTAACATCCGGTGCATACTTTCTTTATTTTTTACCCGACTGCGCAATGCAAGAGCGCGAAGCTCGACGCGCGGACAGGGTATAGTGTTTAACAGTCTATATATGTATGTTTGTTCCTTTGTGGCACACTAGAGACCAAACGCTAGGACCGATTTTGATGATTCATACATCAATCGATTCGTATCAATCATGGGAGTGCTACTAAAGATATGATAGTAATTTAAATTCAATATCGGCAAAATTAGGCGTCATATTGTGACGAAGTAAAAAAAAATAAGTTGACAAAATATGTCGAGTGGGGTGTCACCGTCTAGATAATCAAAAATCATGTGTACGTTCCTAACACCATTTTTCATTTTATATGATTGTTTAGGATCTACAACGCTTTAAAGTTGTATATTAACCACTTGCGCTATTGATCTTACGTTTGTATGGATCTTTGTTACTCTTTTACCTAAAGAAATAGGAGTATGGCAGAAGGACCCTTCAAAAAATATCTGGAGTAGTCTGTGATGTGTAATTATTTTTTGTAAAAATCCCAGAATTCAAGGAACAGGGGGTGCTCAATAAAAACAAGAGATGACAAAATTAGAACGTAGCATTTTTCGTTATTGAAATGTCAAAATGTTGATAGTAATATTCCACTGTTTTTGAGACATATTACTACTAAATACATTATAACGATTATATGTGATAGAGTGACAACCACATAAACATTTGAACATTCGAATAAACAAACTTTCACATCTATATTATTTACATGAAAAGCGAGTTTCAAATGCAGAAAAACTGGAATATTGTGCCTAAAAAAATATTTTCTCTCCACTTATCGTAAGAGTGTAGCCTTTTTCCGCTAGAAGTAATAATTAAGAGGCGGCCCCAAGTTACACTAAACTAGATATTGCTTGACATACGATTAATAATCTATTAGGAAAGATTAACTTTTATGTTAACATGATGTCTGTCGTTGCCGAAGAAGCTCGATGGCGCAGGTGGTGAGCGCATTCGGCCAAGAAAGTTAAGCAACTTTCGCAATGGTCGGTCGCTGGATGGGAGACCGAAAACTTATAATCTCTAGCTCCTCCGTGCTTTGGAAGGCACGTTATGCCGTTGGTCCCAGCTATATCTGCAGTTGTTAGCACCCATCAATCCACAATGGACTTGGTGGGTCACGGCCTTATCTCCCTGTTCCATTCATAGGAAAGGCCTGTGTCTCTGCATTGAGGAATTTATTAGGCTGATGATGATAATGTTTTTCTGTACCAACATTTTCTCACATTACATCATATTATCATATATCGAGGAGCTCGATGGTGCAACTGGTTAGCGCGTTCGGCTGCGATCGTTGAACTTAAGCAACTTTCGCAGTGGTCGGTCATTGGATGGGTGACCAAAAATTTACTATCTCGAGCTCCTCCGTGCTTCGGAAGGCACGTTAAGCCGTTGGTCCCGGTTGCATCTGCAGTCGTTAGCACCCACCAATCCGCACTGGGCCCGCGTGGTGGGTCACGGCCCAATCTCCCTGTTCCATCCATAGAGAAGGCCTGGGCCCCAGCAGTGGGGACATTAATAGGCTGATGATGATGATGATGATGACATCATATTTTCAGGCGTATCACATCTGCCACGATGGCCGCGAGGGTCACCAGGGCGCGGCTCTGCTCTGCACCAACGGCACCTTGTTCAACCAGGAGAAGTTCACCTGCGACTGGTGGTACAATGTCGACTGCTCCCAATCTATCAACCATTACAGGTAACCTTAATATGGTTTACTAAAGAACTGTTGTATTGTTAACTGAATTCGATTAGGAGGCGATCTGGTACAACATCGAATGCTTCCAAGCTATCAACTATTACAGGTAACCTTAATATGATTTACTTACTGTTGTATTGTTAACTGAAACCAATCAGGAGGGGTTCTGATACAATGTCGACTGCTCCCAAGCTATTAACCATTACAGGTAACCTTAATATGATTTACTTACTGTTGTATTGTTAACTGAAACCAATCAGGAGAGGTTCTGATACAATGTCGACTGCTCCCAAGCTATTAACCATTACAGGTAATCTTAAAATGACTTAATTACTGTTATATTGCTAAATGAAATCAATCATTAGAGTTTCTGGTACTATGTCGACTGCTCCCAATCTATCAAGCATTACAGGTAATCTTAATATGATTTACTTACTGTATTGTTAACTGAAACCAATCAGGAGGGGTTCTGATACAATGTCGACTGCTCCCAAGCTATCAAACATTACAGGTAATCTTAATATTACTTACTTACTTTTGAATTGCTAAATGAAATCAATCATTAGAGTTTCTGGTACTATGCCGACTGCTCCCAATCTATCAACCATTACAGGTAATCTTAAAATGACTTTCCTACCGTTGTATTGTTAACTGAAACCAATCCGGAGGGGTTCTGATACAATGTCGACTGCTCCCAAGCTATCAAACATTACAGGTAATCTTAATATTACTTACTTACTTTTGAATTGCTAAATGAAATCAATCATTAGAGTTTCTGGTACTATGTCGACTGCACCTTATCTAGCAAGCATTACAGGCAACCTTTTGATAGGTACTTATATGGCTAACTTGTGTTTTTAACTGAAATCCATAAGGAGAGGTTCTGGTACAAGGTCGACTGCTCACAAGCTATTAACCATTAATCATTAATTAAGCAGGTAATCTTAATTTGACTTACTTACTGTTGTATTGTTAAATGAACTCAATCATTAGAGGTTCTGGTACTATGCCGACTGCTCCCAATCTAACAAGCATTACAGGTAACCTTTTGATAGGTTGACTTATATTACTAACTTGTTGTTTTTCACTGAAACCGGTCAAAAGTTCACTTGCGACTGTATTAATAGCTTGGGAGAAGTTGAAACAGATAATGTTTGGGATAGGATATTGATATGACTACTACTTACTGTTGTGTGCAATCAGGAGAAATTCACCTATGACATTTGGTATAATATCGATTGCTCTCAAACTGTCAACCATTACAGGTAACCATTGGAAAGGTGGTATATAATTGTCATTTGCTGTTTTGTTGACGTCTCATATAAAATATTTCTTCTAAAGTAGAACTTTTTATTAGCTGCAGTAAAATGACGTTTTGTGGGTTACCGCTTTTTGAAGAAAAATAAATAGGGATGTAGCAAAGTGAGTAAGTGAATCATTCAAGAAATGAATGATCAGTTTGGTTTTGTTTAAGAGATTTAATATTAAGTTGTAATGATTTTTCATTCTATTATTATTACTATAGTAAAGGATTGTTTTTTTTTATTGGAAGTATAGGGACGTACATCCAAAATTAAACAATAAACAAAAAGTCATAACAATGTTATTTATTAATCAATCATATTCGGAATCACTATCGCTGTCGCTTTCGGTCACACTAATGACAAATCTGTCTGTCACTTCATCTATAATATGATCGAGGTGGCACATTTTGTCTTCCTCTTTTATAGTATGAGACACACAGTCACTCCACTTAGCCGGTGTCACTGTTGATTCCTTCTTGGAATAAAGTTTTCACTTCTTGCATTTTATATGTATTATTATTGTTTGCGACGTGCCCCTTTACCTGAGCCCAAACCAACTCGATGGGGTTCAATTCACAGTGATAAGGGGGCGGTCTTAAAAGTCTGATACCTTTTTGTGCAGCAATCTCGTCCACGGCATATTTTTCAGTATGATTTTGTTGTTTCACAATATCTATGAGAGTGGCCTTCACCATATTTGGTTCAAATGTAATATTTTTAGTGGTCAGCCACAGGTAAATTAACCTTTGCGATGGTGGGTACTTCATTTCTATGAAAGACAGTGATGAACAAATGGTCTAATAGCGGAATGTGAAATCATCAAGTTTTTCTTTAAAAGTAAGTTTTCGGCCAGGTTTTTCGGGAGGCTTTGGTGATACACAGTCGTTCTCCTTGTGCTCCTTTAAAACGGAATAAACAGTGCGGACGGATATTCCCAAGACTTCAGCCACCTTGTTGACGCATTCACTTGTTTTTGGAACTTCAATGTTTGATTCAGTAGATTTCACTTCTAACACATATTTGTAAACGTTGCTGACCCAAAGTTTCTCAGTTGCACTTAGAGCTACACGTGGCCTTTTTTCTTAGGAGATAAAAATGTATCTCCATCTTATGATGTGCTCAACTGAGCATCCATGTCTTCGATGAAACAAACAAATAAAAGCTGACACGATTAACAAAAGTAAGTAAAGTAGGTAACGAAAAACAAACACAACGTAACAAAAATTTAACAATATATAATTTGACGACCTTCGTGGCCAAGTGGTTTGTACGCCGGGTTCCATGGTGTCACCGACTCTAGAGGTTCCGGGTTCGAATCCCGGTGGGGGCAGATGTTTGTGTGATGAATACGAGCATTTATACTCCAGTCATGGATGTTTAATATGTATTTCTATATAAATATACTTATATATGTACAGTATATGTATTCTATCCGTTACCCTAATATCCCATAACACAAGCCTTATAGTGCTTACTTTGCTAATTGGTGTGAGTGTTGAAAATATATAAAAAAAATAACAAAATATTATAACTAAAACAACTCGCAGTGGGCAAAGCAAAGTTATTCGTGCACTCAAAACAGAAGTTAGAAGCCGAATGAGCGAATGACAAACGAAATAAAATAGCGGACAAGCCTCATCGTGGCACCGTAACTAAAAACCAGTACCAACTTGAGATTTTATACAGCCTTTTATTTATATGAATAATAAATAAAATTAAGTATGTATATCATTATGAGTTATAGAACGATTAGATTTTCTGTGAACCTAATCACATCCCTATTGAAATTAGGCTGTCAACATTATTTTACATAATGACATTATGAAACGTCATTTTACTGCAGCTAATAAAAAGTCGAAGTATAGTATTTTTAGGCTGTAAGACAGCGCCATCTCGTTGCATTGTAGGTAACCCACAATGTCAAACAAAATACATGTTCAAGTATTAAACATTTGAAAGAAGATATAGCTAATATTTGCGCAATATTATATTGTTACTAGCTGTCCCAGCGAACTTCGTACCGCCATAAAAAAATAGGGGTTGGTGGTAGAAGGGTGAAAATTCAGGGTTATATGTATTTACTAATGCTGTATCATAAAAAAATTAAAAACAAAATATCTAAAATTGAAAAAAAAAATTAGGGTTGGATTACCCTTAACATTTAGGGGGATGAAAAATAGATGTTGTCGGATTCTCAGACCTACCCAATATGCACACAAAATTTCATGAGAATCGGTAAAGCCGTTTCTGGGGAGTTTAATCACAAACACCGCGACACGAGAATTTTATACATTAGATTTTAAGCATTAAACTGTTAGAGTTATAGATCTACAGCATGTACTGTTAACTTAAAAGCCCATAGGAAAATAAGAAAAATTCAACTACCTACTTTCCTTTTTTTAATTAATATGAAATGAAATGAAATTATACTTTATTCAAATTAGCTTACAGAAAGCTCTTTTGAATTATTCAATATTTTTCTCTACCTCCCATTCAGTACATCGATTAGCTGATGAGAAGAATGGGCGAAAGAAAGTTATCAGCATTAACAGAAGTAGCAACATTTACATAAAATCATGTCGCTGCCAATACAATTAATTAAGTGGTACATAGTTTCTTGTAAATTTAATGAGAAGACATTGCTTACTTCAATGAGCGAAGTGTTCTTTATTCCCATTTCGATCATCTAAGTAATCTTGGACTCATATTTGTTTCTTAGGTTTTCACGCACATCACTCATTAAATAAAACTAGTTTTTACGGGTTAATGCACGAAACTTTATTTATTTATTGACGTTTCGCAGCCTTTTCAGGTCTGCATCGTCAGAATAATGATTTAAAAAAAAAACATTATTCTGAATTTAAAAAAAAAAACGTTATTCTGACGATGCAGACCTGAAAAGGCTGCGAAACGTCAATAAATTAATAAAGTTTCGTGCATTAACCCGTAAAAACTAGTTTTATTTTATCTTGGACTCGATAATATTCTTTGCTCATCAGAATATTTTTCACATGAGCTTTTAGGCCCATATTATAGAAAGTAATTGATCTAGTCTTGAGTATAGTTAGAAAGGGATGTCGCTATATATAGCACATAGCGACATCCCTTTCTAACCGTACTCAAGTAAAGATCACCACTTAGTTGTCCTTCTGTAATACGGGCCTTAGTTTATGAAGAGGAAGATTAACAATACTGTGTGGTTATATATAGTTTAATGTATACGGTTTTCTTAGGTAAATCTTACAGGTCTTATCTATTAGAACGCGGTTGTCAGTGGCGGCGGTAGGCGTCGGCGACGTCGGCCACCGCCGACGGCCTCGCGCCTGAGGGGGCCTCGCAAAAATTTTTTTCAAGTTACCTATTTATTTTCGTTTCTCCTGGCCTGGCTTAGGTAGCCGACCCCAAACAATTCGGGGAAAAAGCTAAGCAGATGATAATGACTTTTATTATTTTCTAACAGTGCGTGATGGAAGCGAGTAGTACTTTACGGGTATTCAAAATCGTCTGTCTGGCAACACTATTTTTGTAATTAAATTTCTATGTTTGTAATTATTTTTTGTCATCATTTGATTATCAACAATAAAACTCGTTTACTCATACGTTATTTTATATTTGGCTCACTTAATTTAACGGTTTTTTTACTGCGAAGTAAAATAGCCTCGCTTACTTGATGTCGCCGACGTCCACATGTGGTCTAGCGCCGCCACTGGCGGTTGTAGCATATTTGATTATGTTCTAACTTTGAATTTGCAGCCGTTATCTAGTAAGTAATTGCTATATACTAATAAATTGTTACTTTTTTTTACAGGTTAAATGCCGATCCACTGAAAAATCCATATGTTCCCAAGCCAAAGCCAGAAGAACATGAACCACAACCACATAAGTATGGCTCGTTTTACAGATATGCATAAATTAATAGTTAGTTAATAAAATAATCTTACCATGTTTTCGAAATAACAACTGTTAAATTAAAAAAAAAGGTTACTATTCCAACAACAATAATTTGTATAACTCACATAGAATTGAAGCCACGGAATAAAATCAAGTAAAGTGTTTGAATGTCGAATTTAGAAGTTCTTATGTAACTGTCTTTAGAAATTAACCTAAGTTAAATTATTTCTTAATAAATTTAAGTTCAAGTACCTTGTTTACCTAGGCTTATTAAACATATTGTACAGTCTGATTTGAAGTTACCACTGATGTCAAATTTATAATTTTATTTGTAGTGATTATATATTTTCTTGATATTATTTAAGAATACTTCTGTAGTTTTAAGACAAACAACACGAAGAAGCCATAAAAAAGTTTAGTGTTTATTTCGAATAAAAATATTTTCTTTTTTTACATTAATGTTTTTAAACGAAACAATAAGAAGGGGCAGGTAAGGCTAAAATGTAATATATGTTTTTAGGAATAAAGTTTATTTCATTAATTATTTTGTCTTTTGTTTTAGAGGTAAATCCTGTTTACGATGTGTGTGGTTAGTCGGTGAAATATTACGGTGTGCAAAAAAGATATAGCTATAATTTAACTTTTATTATTATTTAATTTATTATTGTTACGTCGTTCCTATACTGGGCTAGAAGCGAAATATAAGCATAGTATAAAAAGCTTCTTTTTACACTTTCCTGTATAAATAGATTGGCAACCTGAGCTTGATGTTTCTTGCGACCCATACTTTTAGTCAATACCAAATACATTTTATGAGATTATCATTCAAGTACAAAGATTGCAGACAGACAAACGGTTTCGCTGATGGAAAATTACTTAAAGACGTACTGTACCAGATATGTTACTTGCGCGCTACCAAAAATGTTTACTCTAACCTCTACCCCACGGAGCACAGAGAAGGTGTTAAGATCTATGCAGGTAATATAGCGGTCAGAAAACTAGGTCGAGCTGATAGTTATTCCAGAACAGAAAAATCTTTATTGGGAAATAGCAGTTTAAAGCAAAAAATCTGACACTAATTATACAACATACAAGCCTGTACTTTTTAATCATCACCAATAAAAAAAAAAACAGAAAATATGTTCACACTCGACGCTTGTGTGTTATTAATAAAATAAAATTTCCGGAACTTGTAATAAATCTGGTAACATGATATCAAAGGGAATTTTGCTGTAGTAATAAAGTTGCCATAAAATATTATCTTGCTGACCGCACGGTGGGACCGCGAGACCGCCCAAGCGGCGAGGCGCAGCCCTTCGGGTGTTGTTTAAATAAACGACGCGCAACGTACCCCAACTTCCCCTCGACGCTAAATAATTTACCACGCACAAACCATACGATTAATAATGAATTTACTCATGTGGAATTATGATCTAAAACGGAACGTATGGTTAAGATTCATAATAATTCCAGAAGGTGTATTTCAAATTTTAGTTTTGTTGCTACAGTTTACCCTTCCGTCTTGTATAGTTGTGTTTTTGTTGAACTAAATATGGGACAAAGGATTTAAGGCTCGAATTGTATATGAATTTGGTTAAGGTAATATACACAAGTCGTTGTTTATGCAGTTAGTAAGCCAAATCACGTAGGTCAAGATAGGTGAAACTCAAGAAAATGCTCTTATACTGATTTAGAAAAATCTAAAGTATGATTACGATATTTCATAAAATAAAACAACGGGTTGCACTCCGGGAGTGCTGGCAGAAGTGAAAACTTGAATATTAACGTTGTGCATTTTGACGTGACAACGTCTTAAATTAGGTTGCGGCTGGGAGTCACTTATGAAAAAGTGTAACGCTCGGTAACGTTACGATGAGTCTCTCGTGTTAAGTTTAAGTTTACATGTACAATGTTTTAGTAAACAAAATATATTTCTATAGTTAAAATTTGTGCAATTCTTATTTTCATTCAATTCCTTGTTCCTATTGTGCAATTTAATTATATTCATATCAATAAATATTCTACCGAGAAAAAGACGTTGTCACGTAAAATCTTCGCCCGTAAAACCGACTTTACAGGCAACCATTTTTTTGATATTTTGGAATGGTTAGGGAATAATTTTGCACGAATTGCTCACAGACGGTCGAGCCATCAGCTGTCACTACCCATGGATGCGCGTGCCACGCTGTAACATAAACACATACGAACATTCGCGCAAGCGTCCTCCGCCGCCTAAACGTAACAGCAGACGCAGGCATACATTTTCGCCGCGCCATAGAAAGAGAGGCAGATACTTCCTCTCCTACGCCGCGCCGGCTGTCTACTCTCCATCCGTCTTACGAATTTTCGATCAGGTCACGTGTGCTGATGCAAGTTCAACATTTTTTACCCATTACAAAAAAAGTGTACAACGCCGCTAACGCAGTTTTCGTCTTACGAATTTTCGATCAGGTCACGCGTCCTGACTCGACTTTAACATTTTTTATCCATTACAAAAAAGTGTACAACACCGCTAACGAAGTTTTCACTTCAAATATGTGGTTATTAGAAATGCACCGTAGAAACTGAAAAATCTGAATCATAGCCTCATAAACTAGGGTATCGATTCTACTAAGCTAACGTTAAAATCGTGTCTCAATAGGAGTTTAATATGTAGTATCGTGTTTGAGAGAGTTGTTGTTACAAAAATATAAAATAACAAAACCATATAATTAACAATAGGTAACAAATGAGTACGCAAAGTTGTAATTTTGTGTTTTAGTAACTGTAACGCCATTGATACACAATTATTACTTTAACGTAGCAGAACCGATACCCAGAAACAAAGTAACTTTCATTTAAATCTAAAGAAAATATAACTAGAAAAAATTCCACGCGGACCAGGCAGCAGACGGGACTCGAACCCGCACCCTTCGCAATCCGGGCGAATGCACTGACCAATTATGCTACCGCGGTCCTCACGGACCGCGTCGAAATTCTTCTAGCCATTATTAAGCTGCAAGGCAGCGCCATCTCTTCGCATTGTAGGTAACCCACAATGTCAAATGAACTATAATTGCTATTTCTTCTTTCAAATGTTTAATACTTGCAAAGTAATCATTTCACTCAACGCGCACCCTTCGCAATCCGGGCGAATGCACTGAGCATTCGCCCGGATTGCGAAGGGTGCGGGTTCTAGTCCCGTCTGCTGCCTGGTCCGCGTAGAATTTTTCTAGTTATATTTTCTTTATATTTAAACATCAAGCAGTTACATGCTTTAAAATAATAAAAATTATAACTTTCATTTTTCATTTTTGTAAACAATGATCCAGCATCATCTGAGGTTATAATAACGTTTGACCATTCTTCTTCAGTTTTCCTATTTCGCGTGAAAGTAGTATAGTTTTCAACAGCTTTGCATTGTTTTTGTCAAGAACTTAATGAGTGATAGTGGCGATGTAAGAAATAGCTATCCAATTCGCTAATACCTATATTTTTCTCGAAACGAATTAGCTAATAATTAAAGTTTACTAGAAAAAAAATCCACGCGGACCAGGCAGCGGACGGGACTCGAACCCGCATCCTTCGCTATCCGGGCGAATGCACTGACCATTATGCTACCACGGCCCTTTAGATTTAAACATCTAGCAGTTAAATGCTTAAAAAAATAAATAAATAATCATAGCTAATAATAGTTTTGTAGGGACAACCAAAACTGATTCTTTATATCCAAAATTGATTACTTAAACAATTATGTCTTTAAGCCAAGTGCTAAATCTTATAGTTGTAAAACGATATCAAGATGAACTATTTGTTGCCGTCTCTGACTACATCCCCTATCCCCTACGTCCTGGGTTCCGAACCTGGGGGTAATTACCCCTCCGGAGGTAACAAAGAACCATATTATTTGGTCAAATCTAAATAATAAGAAAATACTATATAATACTACTACTAAATAGAGCCCGCGGGGTGCTGAGTGTGGGAAGCGGGGCGAGATTGTCTCGTGATGATGACATTATTAGAAACGAAGATGTAGCGGCCAAATTGGAAGTTCTTGGACTGATGATAATATTTTAAAGTCAGGGTAAAATCTGGTTTACTTATAGGTTACAGGGATAGCAGTATTGGAAAGGTTTGGAAACACTGCCCTACGTGCAGTAGTTTCCTATTTGGCATGAATTAAATAATAAAAAATGATGTGGTGCCGTGGGACACCAGGTAGGAACCCTCCGGGGGTAACAAAGAACCATATTATTTGGTCAAATCTAAATAATAAGAAAATACTATATAATAATACTACTAAATAGAGCGCGCTCCTTCTTGCTAGCGAGCCCGCGGGGTGCTGAGTGTGGGAAGCGGGGCGAGATTGTCTCGTGATGATGACATTAATAGAGACGAAGATGTAGCGGCCAAATTGGAATTTCTTGGACTGATGATAATATTTTAAAGTCAGGGTAAAATCTGGTTTCCTTATAGGTTACAGGGGTAGCAGTATTGGAAAGGTTAGGAAACACTGCCCTACGTGCAGTAGTTTCCTATTTGGCATGAAATAAATAATAAAAAATGATGTGGTGTCGTGGGACATCAGGTAGGAACGAAGTTCCTTCGGCTAATGTAGAATCGACACAAATTGCAAACTCGCTTGTGTATGCGACTGTCGCGCCTGCGCACGTCTCATTTAACGGTTTTATTCCACGCACTTTTTTCCACGGATTTTTTCTTACGGTTTTACTATCACATTTTTTCAGTTCGGTCGCGCAGCAAAATACCTATCCCCTCCAAGACTGTCGCGCCTGCGCACGTCTCATTTAACGGTTTTATTCCACGCACTTTTTTCCACGGATTTTTGTTACGGTTTTACTATCACATTTTTTTCAGTTCGGTCGCGCAGCAAAATCCCTATCCCCTCCAAGCCTGCCGTAAGGAACTTCGTTCCAAAAACTATTGCATCCCCGTTTCGCTAAAAACTCATTCACAAAACATTGCCACAGCGCGGTAGGAGTTATCTCAAATCAATTTAGCATCGAGCGAGTTTGTTTACCACGTGAAAAATAACTTCGCAATTTGCTCACTTATTGTGGATGTTTCGTATATATCGCAAATATTGAACAATAGTTCTCTGTTTTGTTTTGCATAGTGATTGATGAGTGCCTGTTTTTTAAAGTTCGAACAATATTACAATAGTTACGCGCGTGTATCATAAAATAGGGGTTATAAGAGATTTGTTAATTTTTTTATCGTCAAAATAAAATCGACGCTTTTCTCTGTTTGTTTTATTGGCTAGGTATTTAAATTTATAAAGTTATTATTACAAATATCTCCCATGGTGGACTAAAAGCAAAATGAAAATGAAGAATGCGCTAGCTGCTAATTTTTCAGTACAGATAGAAAAAGCCTA